TAAAATTATCCAAACTAAGATGCGATAATGGAGGAGAGTATATGTCAGCAAGGATTCGAGATTTCTGTGCTAAAAAAGGAATTGAATTAGTTTATACTGTTCCTCGGAATCCCCAACAAAACGGTATCGCAGAACGTTTCAACAGGACGATTATGGACAAAGCAAGGTGCTTGATGTTTGATTCGAAATTTGGAAAAGAGATGTGGGGCGAAGCTGTTTTGACTGCCGTTTATCTTTCGAATCGAACTCCGTCTAATGTGCTACCAGATGGAAAAACTCCGGCTGAAATATGGTATGGGTACAAACCTGAAATGAACAAAATACATATTTTTGGTTGTACCGCTCATGCTCTGGTTCACCGAGAAGATCGGAATGGAAAGTTGTCGTCTCGATCAAAGAAGCTGTCACTTATTGGGTATTGTAACAATGGATATCGTCTTTGGGATGCTGATCAGCAGAGGATTGTCACTGCTCGCTCAGTGGTGTTCGATGAACCTGTGAACCAAGTTTTGTTGATACTTGTGATCAAGAGGTTGGGTTAATGGATGATAATCTAATTCCATTGGCACCCGAAAATCCTCTATCTCTGTCGCCAGTTACAGAGCAAGTTTCACTGAAGGGGGCGGTTCTGAACAAGCGGATGGTGAACCTGGAGTACGACGAAGTACTAGACAACGAGTATTACCTGAGCACTTCAATGATTTTGAGATGATGATGGCATTGTCTGCTGGAAACCTACCTTCGGATATTCCTTCTTCCTACCATGAGGCGATGAAGAGTGATGATGGCTGGAAAGCTGCAATTGACAATGAACTCAACTCTCTGAAAGCTAACAAAACTTGGGAGATTGTGGATTGCCCTCCCAATGCAGTTGTCATTGATTCCAAATGGGTTTTCACCGAGGAATTGATGGATGGACAAACTGTGAAGAAAGCTCGTTTGGTAGCAAGAGGATACCAACAACCAGAGTTGGACACTGAAAATTCCTACTCGCCAGTGGCTCGTATGTTCACGCTGAGAGTTCTTTTGTCATTGGCTGTGGAACGTGGCATGAAATTTCATCAACTTGATGTGAAGTCTGCATTTCTTGCCAGTCCCTTGAATGATGTGGTTTACATGAAACCACCTCATGGTTTAAACGCACCTAACGCGAAAGTTTGTAAGTTGTTGAAAGCCTTATATGGTTTTAGGCAGAGTCCTAAGTGTTTCAATGATTTGTTGAATGAAAAACTTGTCGGTTTGAAGTTTGAACGATCCATGATTGATCCATGTTTGTATCATAATGATGGCTGTACATTCATTTTAATTTGGGTTGATGATATGTTGATTGCATCAAGTGATGATAATGAAGTCGCATGTATAAAAGAGAAATTGATGAAATGTTTTGATGTGAAAATTTTTACTAATAATGAAAAGTTTATCTTTCTTGGAATTGAAATTGTGAGAACTGAAAATTCTGTAAAAATAAGTCAAAAGTTACTTGTTGAAAAGTTATTGAAACATTTTCAAATGACAGATTCTAAGGTCGCTAAGGTGCCTATTCAACCTAAGTTAAACTTGATGAAAATAGAAAATACGAATTCAAGCGACAATTTTCAGTATAGGGAATTAGTTGGAAGTTTGATGTATTTGATGTTGGGTACCAGACCAGATATTTGTTTTTGTACTGCATACTTTGGAAGATTCCAAAGTTGTTACAATATTTCTCATTGGAAAGCACTAAAAAATGTTTTGAGATACCTGTCAGGTACAAAAGATTTGGGATTGTGTTTTGAGAAATGCAGTAAATCAAATATAGATATCTTAGCCTATGCTGATTCTGATTTTGCTTCAGATTTTAATGATCGAAAAAGTGTGTCAGGTTTTCTCATTAAAATGAATAATAATATTGTATATTGGAATTCTGAAAAGCTCCGTAGTTGCTCTTTCTACAAGTGAGGCTGAGTTCATTGCTTTAGCTTCTTGTATGTGTGAATGCTTGTTTTTGGGCCAACTTCTTGAGGAAATTTTGGATGAATCTGTGTTTCCAATAACTGTTATGGAAGATAACCAATCTTGTATCCACATGGCCAAAACTTTGGAGACTAAGAGAACTAAGCATGTGGATGTCAAATATCATTTCGTTAAGGATTTGGTCATTCAAGGAAAATTCAAATTGAATTATATATCCACTGAGAATCAGATTGCTGATGTACTAACCAAAGGTTTGAGTGTAGTTAAATTCGAAAAATTTAAGGGGGAAATGGGAATGAAATTTATCTAAATTCAAATTTAACAATATTGAAAATTGTTTCAACTATTGAATACAATTTATAATTTCAAAAACTGTTCAATTCCCAAACTCCAAACTGTTAAGATGTTATCTGAGTAGTTTTTGAACGACATGTTTTTGTTCAATATGTTAGAGAATTTTTGGAAAATGTTCAAATGATGTAACATAGAATTGGGAGAGGGTGTTGAAGTATCAATTCTATTTCAAACTAAATCTCTCTGTATATTGGTCGTGTCAAGATAATATATAATTTATGTCACATAATATGTTAAATGTATGTCAACTCGGTGAATTATTGATCTCCTGATATTTCTATAATTTTCATGTACAAGTGTGATTTCATATTAAATTCCTCACGTGTTGAATCTGTGTATAATCTGTGTTCAACCAAACAATAGAACATTGGCATATATCCCTATTATGAACAGATATGTTTCTTGGTGTAATAAAAACAATCAATCAATCAAAATCAACCTCTTCAGTGAGTTCTTGTAGACAACTGGTGCTATTTTAATTTTGATTTTAATCGATTTCATCACATATACTTTTTTGTTTGTAACTTTTCTGTTTCTTTGTATGACGTATCCATAACCTATAAACCATGGATGTGATATATTCTATTCTTTTCTATTTCGCGTGTTGGAGTTTGCATTTATTGATGGTTATATTTTTCTTGTTTATTATTCGTATGTGTTCTTTATGGTTGAAATGATAAAGGGAGAAAATACCATTTTCATGAAATGACAAAGAAACAGAAAGTCAGAAGAAAAATTTATTACATCTTTAGATAAATTTGACGTTGAAGGAACGTAATCATTACTCAAGTGTGTGAGTTACAGCTAAGTCGGCAAACCGTAATATTCAATCGTAATTTGTTCCCTTCGGTGGTAAATATGTAGTAGTAGTAGCTACGTATTTATAACGTAACCGCAACTAGTAAATATTACTATAGTCGTCATTACGTAATCACGACTATAAATGCTAATTGGGACGTCCATACAAGAATAGAATAAAAAAGAATACTTTATTTTACCACATCACGTACACTCTACATTTGTAAAAGGTCAAGGAGTTAGAACTATAAAAAAATAGAACTGTAAATAAAATTAAGTTAAAAGAAAAACAATAAGAAGTTGAAAGACAAACAATATGAAAATATTGATAGAGATTAAAAATAGAGAACAAATATGAAAAAAATATTAAATACAGGTACATATTGATAATGGCTTCATCCATATTAATACTAAAGCCAGTAGTTCCTCATGATCAGCCTGAAAATATTCTTCCAGTGAGTAGAAGCAATGTTCCAGGAGATATTGCTTTATTTTATTCTTAAATTTGATGAAACAGAGATTTTTAATTCTACGAGGCAATATATTGTAAATGTTTTCCAAGGAGTTTTTCTGAGATACAGTGAGTTTAAACCAAGGATTACGTATCTTCGTCGCATGTCTGGTGTCATGGTCATGAGTTCTGAGTATGTTAAATTGTTTATGAACCTCTTGAAGTGTGTTATAGATAAACAAAGTTGGTAATGGCATGATGCCATGTGCGATGAATAAGGTTTCACAGTGTTCTCTATAATATGCATTGGCCATTACTCTCATTGCCTTTTTCTGCTGGCGAAATATGATAGGAGCATGAGAAGAGTTTCCCTATAATAAAACGCCATAATTTATATGACTGTGAAATAAAGAAAAGTAGACAGTTTTTAAAGTTACAGAATTTATGATACTCCTGACTTGTCTGAGGAGAAATATGGTACTTGACATTTTTTTCTGTAAAAGCTCAATATGATGGTGCCAATTTAGTTTCTCATCAAGCGTGATCCCTAGTAAATTCACGCTATTACCTTTATGGCAAGAGGGATGCGTTGACATTACAATTTTTTGAGTTTTATTGGTATTAAACTCTCCTCAGCTCTTTTTTCGATAATCGCTGTTTCGGTGATGAGATCTTGATAATTACTTCCAGAACAAATAAGTGTAGTGTCGTCAGCAAAGAAGACACATTTGGTGGGTTGCATCATTTATATAAAAAATGAACAGTAGTGGCCAGAGGACCGACCGTTGGGGCACACCATGTACGACTGGAAGGTAATCTGAACAAGCGTTGTTAAAACTAACCTTCTGGAAACGAGTTTCTAAATATGATTTAATAAGTGATAAAACTACTCCACTCAAACCATAGTGGGATGATTTTTCCAGAAGAATATTATGAGAGACACAATCACAAGCCTTGGTTACGTCACACAAGGTGATGGCAGTATGATTACCCATTTCAAGACCCTCGACTATGACTATCTCTCTCACAACATTCATCACAGCCTGTGATGTTGATTTATTCTTGTGAAATCCAAATTGACTATCATTCAGAAAGTTATTGGATTCAAAGTAATTCTGAATTTGATTTTTCAAAAGAATCTCAACAATTTTAGAAAAGCTTTTGCTTTCAGCGAAGTCAGAAGCCACAGAAAAATAAACGGCTTTTGCATTATTACCGGAGTGATAATATTATTTAAAAAATGTGTTACCGTGAGAGCGTACATTTTTTAAAACATTTTTAATAAAAAAATTTCTTGTGATTCATGCAATTCAGAATTTCGGAAACACCCAGTATCATTTCATCACTCCAAAGTAGCAAAACTTTGTCCATTCAGGTATTTGATTTACTATACCTATTTGTGTTTTAGCCTGTAACAAGAGATATAAATCATAACCATATGTACCTTATACTGGCAGAGTACAGTAGTCTGTTGGACAAAAGCCGCCAGAACCATCGTAGGGCCATCGGGAGCAATTTTTTCTTCCTCTTGGCACAGGATGCAGGTGACAGTTTTCTCTTCGGAAATTCGTAGAGATTGGTTGGGACCGAGAGCAATAGGGCGTTCTTCTGTCACTTCGGTAGTATCCATCGTTTCAACTATGCTTGTTGTTCTAGGTTTCCTAGGATAAAATTAACATTCAGTGCTAGTTCAGACAATAGGTTTTTTCAAATGAATCGCTTTGTTAGTATATAAATAATATAATCCACGTTTTCTGATCCATCAATATGTAGATGTTTCTGACATACAGTGTGACCCACTTCTAATGGAAACACCCCTGAATCTTACGTAATTGTTGGATAAAGATCCTGAAAGGACCCCGCACCGCATCAATGGGAAATTGGCTTTCGGTGAATTTACTCGAATTTTTGATATATTGTAGAACTCGTGGTGCTGATCAAATGTCTCCATTGCACCAACGCTCTAAAATCAACAGGGTGATAAAGTTGACTTTTGAAGAATTTTAGATAGACATTGTGAAGACACCTTTTATAATTTCGAAACCAAATCAACTGTGCATTGATTGCTCGAATGACCGATACGAATCTACTATAAAGTATAATGATTCCTGCACGTACCAACAATATACAGGGTTGGTCGGAACATAGCGAATAATTCAGTGATTTTCTGAAAAGTGTGCGGTGGAATTTCATTTAAATTCTGTTGTATACAAATATCATCCCCATTTCGTGATATGAGCATCTCCTAATCAGATATATTAAATACAAGATGTTTTATTTTTGATAAAGTCACATCCATGTTAGGTACTTATCATTGGCATCCTCAATATGACTTACAACTTGAACAACATATGATGAATGTCCACTCTGCAAATCCGTGAAATATACGGAGTGGATGAAAAATCAATGGTATTTGCTAATAACTTCTCGAGAGTAGTATGTGCAGATTCTTGTGACCCATTTTATTGACCCTGTTTCATAACGACATTATAATCAATAAAACTAATTTGAACCATTCGATGCAGTATATTTTTAATAACATGTTAGATCCATAAATTCGAGATGTGGAAGTCCCCTTTGGTCTCGCCTTTCAATAGCGATTTCTCGCTTCATTTCATTTGGTTCTCCCTCAAGTCGTACCATATTTTGTATATTGAATGCCGAATGACACGTAAAACAATTCAATCGGCGACGATTAGCCATTTTTCAAATAATTATTACTTTGACTTCTATAAGAACTTGACAGATGCAATAGTTGCAAATGACAATGTTAAACAGATGAATATAGTTGCTATGTGCCTGCCATATTACATTATTTGAACCACAGCAATCTTAACATGATCAAGATGAACATGGAGTCCATCATGAGCAGAGATCACCGTAATTGAATGATATCAAAGATTCATTCGGCATTTGTAAGAATTTATCATTCGTCCTCACTCAATATTATATTATTTTATATTACCATGATTTCATGATGATATGTGTGTATGTTTCCAACTGATTTATATATTCATTTGTTAAATACTGTCTGTAGGTTAATTGAGGAGGTGAAATAATCATCATTATACTGGTGAATTTTTGTTTTAGGCTCTTTGATAGTGACATCTTTGGGGCAAATCATCTGATTTGTCCTTACTACACGTATATTGAAATGATACTCATATTTTTATTTTATAGAAACGAGGTGAGAAAATCCCATAAAATCTGAAATAATTTATATATTTATGTTTACTGAAACTAATATAGCTGCTTCTATATTTATTGAGTACGTTATAAACTTGGCTATAAAGTCAGGAGTACTTTTCAAATATAATAACTATGCCATCGTGTTGATTTTCATACTCCCTTATAAACCAACCAGATAGTATTGCTTGTTACATCAGGTATGTATTTTAGATAGTTGGGTTCATCTTTATATGTATTTTTTTATGTATGTCTGTTTGACTCAAGAGACGCCAATGTATAATTAGCTAATTTGATGTTAGAAAAGGCTATCAGAGTCAATTTAGTATAAGCCACGATATAGAAGCAGAAAACCTACCAGGTGAAATTGGCAGGATCTCATATGAATGATGTATATGATATCACGATGAAAATCAATTTCAATTCAAATACGAACGCTCATGGATTTTTACGAATGAGAATTCACTCAAGCTTCCGTAATTCCAAAGAATAACAATAAATTGTGGATCGCATTCAATGCCGGAAGACATTGACATGATGACACCTAATGAAAAACGAATACATGAAATTAGTCATTCATAATATATATAATGTTTACTACTTTAATTTTGTTTTAACTGTTATGTTTACTTCACTTCAGCAGTGTTTGAGGGTTGAGGTATTCTAGAATTGAGTATGACGAGTTGTATTCAGGAGACTGTTCAAGAAGTTGAATGAGTTCAACAGAACTTTTGTTGTGATTGAATATCAGAATATTTTGTTATCCATAATAACTGTATATTCATTGTTCTTGTTTCCTATTGTTGATTGTTTCACTATCACCTGAAGAACCTATGATACCTGCATATTATCAAAAATATACTACATCGAATGGTTCAAATTATTTTCATTGAATATAATGTCGTTATGAAACAGGGTCAATAAAATGGGCCAAAAGAATCTGCACATACTACTCTTGAGAAATTATTAGCAAAGACCATTGATTTTTCGTCCACTCCGTATATTTCAAGTATTTGCAGGGTGAACATTCATCATGGAATGAACGAGATTCCCAATAGGTTGTTCAAGTTGTGAGTCATAATGAGGATGCCAATAATAGTTATCTAACATGGATGTGACTTCATCAAAAATAAAACATCTTGTATATAATATGTCTGATTAGGAGATTCTAATATCACGAAATGGGAATGATATTTGTATACTACAGAATTTAAATGAGATTCCACCGCACACTTTTCCGAAAATCACTGATTTATTCGCCATGTTCCGACCAACCCTGTATATTGTTGGTACGTGCAGGAATCATTATACTTTATAGTAGATTCGTATTGGTCATTCGAACAATCAATGCACAGTTGATTTGGTTTCGAAATTATGAAAGGTGTCTTCACAATTACTATCTAAAATTCTGGAAGTCAATTTTATCACCCTATATAATCGTAACTGTTGATTTTAGAGCGTTGGTGCAATGGAGACATTTGATCAGCACCACGAGTTCTACAATATATCAAAAATTCGAGTAAATTCACCGAAAGCCAATTTCCCATTGATGCGGTGCGGGGTCCTTTGCTGGGAACGAGAGATATACCAAAAATGCACTCTATGACAAAGTGGAGTCATCCTCAGTAATATACACTGCTTGCCTACAACCATGAAACCACCCCAATTTCCGGAAAATGATATTAGGAGTCAAAATAGGTTGAACATCACTTCAGATTCGGAATCAGGACGCCCAATACACTAACTATTCATATTTTTCCTGGAAAATTTTCAGTTCTGAAAAATTTAATTTTGTCGCACTTTTTACGGAAGCACCCCCGTATCTTACGTAATTGACTTTATCTTTGGACATTCCCTTCCTCCGGCAAATTTCAGAACCCTACCTCAACAATTACGTGAGATACGGGGGTGCTTCCATGAGAAATGGGACAAAATTTAATTTTTCGGAACTGAAAATTTCCTAGGAAAACTATGGATAGTTAGTGAACTGTGCGTCTTGATTCCGAATCCGAAGTGATTTTCAACCTATTTTGACTCCTAATATCATTTCCCGGAAATTTGGGTGGTTCCATGGCTGTTGCCGAGCAGTGTATATCACTGAAGATTACCCCACTTGGTCATAAAGTGCATTTTTGGTATATCTCTCGCTCCAGCAAATTTCAGGATCCTAACCCAACGATTACATAAGATACAGGGGTGTTTCCATTAGAAGTGGGTCACACTGTATATTATTATTATTATTGAAGAAGAAATATAAAACAACTATTCCTTCTATTCTCTGAGGTCTCACGAGAACGCGTTATCGTTATTATTTTTCAGTGATACCAGGTTATATCCACTTATATCGATTTAAAGGATTTCCTTTATCAATAAGCTGTGTTTATTCTCATCATGGTAAATTGTATATGTACAGTGTGTCACACTTCTAATGGATACACCCCTGTATCTAATGAAATCGTTGGGTTAGGATCCTGAAATTTGCTGGAGCGAGAGATTAAGCAAAAATGCACTCTATGACTCAGTAACATACCCTGCTCGCCAACAGCCCTGGAACCACCCCGATTTTCGGAAAATGACATAAGGAGTCATCATTTCGGATTCGGAATCAGTACTATTACTAGCTATTGATATTTTTCCTGAAAATGTTTCAATTCTGGAAAATTTATTTTCGCCTCACTTTTCATGAAAACACTCCCGTATCAAACGTGATCGTTGGGTTAAGATCTTGACATTTGCTGGAGCGAGGGATATACCAAAAATGTACTCAAATGAATTTTTCAGAATTGAAAATTTTTTAGGAAAAATATTAATTGTTAGTGAATAAGATATCCTATTTTCAAATCCAAAGTTGACTTCGTAATAATTCTAATGATATCATTTCATTCTTTGTTATAAACATAACATATTGCATTTCGTATAAATATAATTATATTTTTTAAGGTTTATAATGTAATAACATGAATAATCAGACAGATTCATATCTGGTATGAGATTATTCATGCACCTTATTAAATCTATGTTAATAAAATAAACAACAGATAGAAAAATAACAAAAATAGAATAAAACTCATGAATAGTTATTTATACACCAAGGTAGTAAAGAATATCAGTATTACCCAGGGACCATGGTAATTATATTCTGTACTACCAAGGTGTATATTAAATGCTTTTAACCACTAGCAATACATTTCAATCATTTTAGTTTTTTGAAACTGTATTATGAACCTATTGTCACTATGAGAGCACTTCTTTTCAGTTCTAATCAAAATCTAGCAGCCATGACCATGACAGCATATGACAAGTCATTATTGATAAATACCTTCTAAATTTGAGTGCCATAAATGTGAATCACGCATCAGAACAGTGAATTCGAGTTAATTATAACAGAGGACGCTATGTCTTTATTGACTATTGGTTAATAAAATGGCGAAAAATTCTGGTAGTAAAAACACACTTGAAGCCTCGGAAAGGAGTGAATACTGGTAGGTTTTATAGCTAGTGGTGGAAAAATGTACATTATGACATGATTAAAAAATACTGTCTGTAGGTTAATCGAGGAGGTGGTACATTCATTATTCCAAATTTTTTGGGATTTTCTCTCCTCGTTTCTATAAAATAAAAATATGAATATTATTTCAATATACGTGTAGTAAGGACAAATCAGATGATTTGTCCCAAAATGTCACTGCGTTTAAAGAATTTTCCTATCAGAGAGCTCAAAAGAAAAATTCACTAGCTTGTCAGTGACAATTTGTATTGAAAACATTTTGGAGAAGAGAAATAAAGGTATATAGAAAAAATATCAAATTGTCTCTCATCTTTGGACGTTTCGGGACCGATTCTGCTCCCGTTTTCAACATGAAAAGAGATTATTTCAATAGCGAAGTCGTATAATATGTAAATTCAAGATTAATTAATGAAAACATTCTGTAACTCATTTGATTGCCAACGTCACCAATTGTCATTGAAAACTGAAAAGCTTCAAGACATATTATACGACTCGCTATTGAAATAATCTCTTTTCATGTTGAAAACGGGAGCAGAATCGGTCCCGAAACGTCCAAAGATGAGTGAAAATTTGATACTTTTTCTATATACCTTTATTTCTCTTCTCCAAAATTTTTTCAATACAAATTGTTACTGACAAGCTAGTGAATTTTTCTTTTAGGCTCTCTGATAGGAAAATTCTCTAAATTCAGTGACATTTTGGGGCAAATCATCTGATTTGTCCTTACTACACGTATATTGAAATAATATTCATATTTTTATTTTATAGAAACGAGGAGAGAAAATCCCTGAAAATTTGGAATGATTAAAAAAAATTGTGAATGAGAAATCATTCACTCAGGTTGGATTTTCTCTTGACTTCAATTTTGTATTAGGTGATATTTGTGCAACTTTTGATATCATCAGGTAATTTATTGAATTTTGTGATAGCCCCGTGAGTAAAATTTTTTTTGGCCAAGTGTAGAATCAGCTGAATCAAGATGAAACGAGTTATATTGTCTAGTATGATGTTCATGGATTTGGGAATTCCTTACCAATATGAATTTAGATTTGAGGTGTTTGTTGATAATATCATAAGAAATTTTGAGAGTATTGATTAGATAGTGTTCTCCCAAAGAAAATGTACTTTCTTATATAGTACAGATATATTGTTAAAATTATTCTTGGAACATGAGCCCCAAATATTAATTAGATAGTTAATTTTACTAAGGATGTCAGAGTATAGAACGATATTTGCCATATTTGGGCTAAGTTTTGGACATCTTCTATGTGACCAACTATGTGAGAAATGTTTTCTTTGAGCATGCCAATATGCTTGTCCCAAGTTATATTTTCATCAATCCAAATACCAAGGTATATAGAATAGGCAGTTTGTTTCAATCACCCGAAATAGGTGGTGTATTTTCTTGTAACCATATATTTTCATAATCATTTTTCTTGAGCGGTAGGATTTCCACTTTTTCTTGCTGATCCTCTTTTCTCTAGGTGTCATATCCACAATAGATTTTTTTATGCCTTTTTTTAGTTAGATATGGTCTTACATTTGTAGAGTGATTTATAAATAATATTTTTGATATTCATTTTGATTCATGGTAATAATATTGTTTTCATCATGTGATCTATGGATGATTTAATGATTATATTACAAACATATTCAACATGTTGCAATGATGCTTTGCTTGGTTTATTCTGCCCAGTTATCTTAACAAAATATTTTTCTGTTAGTTAAGTTCTCTCAATTTTCAGTAAATTTGCATTCCATTCTTTGGACTCGCTATTACTACCATTATAACCTTTTTTCGTATTTTCATAACATTTTACGGGTGCATTCACTAAACTCGGATGAATTTTTGATTGAATTTCTTGATTTGTTGTTTCTATATTTTGTATTGCGTTTTCAATTATAACGTTAAATTTTCAATAAAGGTGCTATGCTGGTGAATTATTGTCAATAATCATTTATTCAAATAGGGCATCCTAATATACAGACTACATTCATTGAAGTTTTATAAATTGTAAAGTCTTAAATATAAGTATATTACACAGATGAATAAGTTCATATTGAATATTAAAGAATCCAAACAATAAATAGTGAAATGGAGAATATTGTATGTAAAGAAAAAGAAAAAATTATAAGTATGTTTAACTATTGTCGATACTATCGACTACAAAAAAAAGACTGAGGTTTATTGATATATCAACTTTCAAATATCTAACAAGGGATTTCTCAAATGTTCTAAGAGATTCACTTTGTTTTATGTCATCTAGGAGGCCATTTTACTCTAGTAGTCCTTTATTGAATAAAGAGTTCATTGAACTAGTGTAATTAAGGTACATACAGGTTATTATTACCACTGGTAGGATAATTATGAATTTAATGCTGGAATATGATGAATTGATCAAAGAATGGGGGAGCATTACCAGAAATTATTTTGAAAATAAGTATCATTGAGAAATAAAACAAGCGATCCTTTACAGTTAGCCAATTTAGAACTTCAAGCATCGTTTTTGTTGGTGTATATCTATTACATTTCAATATCAATATCATCAAGTTCACTTCAACAGGACATGTCGCAGCGACAATGGCGCTTTACAAAATGTAATCCATATTTTACTCCCTTTTGGGAAACACATTTCAATTTGTTTGTAACGTATTCTACCTTAATGTCGTTAGTTTTAAACTGGACCAAAGATATTTTTATGGAAGAATTTCCCTGTTAACCTGACGAGTACCCACTGATGATGACTCAACAGTCGAAAGCACTCTGCTAGGAATATTGAATAAATTATCTTGCATTAAATACAAATCTTCCCTTCTTTGGCAGTTTGTTGATATCTTAGGAATATTTTGGAATGCTTCCATTGGCCACAGTTACATTTGTAGTTTTATTTTCATCAATTCGGTTTGAAATACTACCAATTGTCTCTTCTGAATTGAACAAATGTTCTATAGTTATTTTATTTTTTTCATTTTCAATTGCATTTCCTCGTTGGACCCAGCACTGGATCCAACGCCACGTAAGTCGAAACTTGTGCGGGGTTAAGGAAAGCATACATTTACAAACATCCATGACCTAACTGGGATTGGAACCCATGCCTCGGTGGGAGTCCCCATACGAACTCTGCGCCTTCGCGCTCTCGACCACCGGGCCGCTAAGTTGATACCATATTTTTTATATCAATAAGAGTATTGTTTTCAGTTTCAGATGATTTCAGAAAAGACCTACAGTTTTCACATAGCCACAGAATGTTGTCTTTGATTGATTGAATTGTCTTCCATTGTGACTGAGAAATATCTACACATTTAGACAGTTTCCATTACAAACAATTTCAGATTTTTCCTTTTATCGATAATAAACATTTATTAATACATTGAAAATTTTAATTTTCTTCATACCAGTGCTCATGATGGAATTCTGCAATTATTAGTTTAAGTCTGATAAATAGTAGTGAAGAGTTGGTAATAAATAGGTGTTCTTTTTAGTTAAATAAATTAGTTCTTAAATGACTAATGTTGTTCACATTTGCCTACGCATAATGTAACAATGTGTAGATTTAGAGGTTCAGCCACTTACCTATCAGAACCCGTTTCCTCGAACAAACTCGCATTGTCCTTGATGAAACTGTTCTGCATTGCTTGCATCTGAGCCATCAACTTTGTCCTTCGCTCGGCAGCCAGCTTGGACCGTCTCTCCTTCTCCGTATCAGCATTTTCTGATGAAGAAGGCTCTTTTTGTAAGACGGGCCATGCTGAGAAAATAACAGCACTCAATTCAATACTAGTAATAAATCAATCAATCAATCAATCAACTTCATTATTCCCAAGAAACATTTGTTTATAGCAGGAAACATGGTGAATACATAAATATATTTGACAAAATAAAATAAAGAAGACAGTAAAATAAGACTCACACTCAAGATTCTTTTTTTTTTCAAATTCAACTGAAAATGATTCTCAATTGACTCAGCTGTTAGGTACCCAATAGAAAACTATTGTAGTTGTACAAGAACACTATAAAAATGAGATAAGATGTCAATATTACAGGAGTACTTAGATGTTTCATGAATTCTTTTTTAAATTTTTCAATCCTATTAATCAGCTTCAATTTATTTGGTAGTGAATTGTATTGTATTATTCCAATGTGATAGATGGATTTTTTATCAATATCTGATTTAATTTTCTTGGCAGAAAAATGATCTGCTTGTCTAGTTGTCTGGTTGTGGTGATTACTATTATCTTGGAAAACAAAATTTGAATGCTTTTGACAATGTTTAACTGAATGAATGAACGACATTAATTTGAATTTATACAGTGAGGACCAAAAGTCCGTCGCCCCCCCTGTAACTTCTTTATTCTAAATATTACAAAAAATTTTAAATACATAAGTTGTAGGGTTTCATTCGACCTCTTTAATGGTTCAAGTTTCATTCATACAGAGTGTCTCTAAAAAGCACGGTGACTTAGAAGTTAATTTTTTTGCATGGGACACCCTGTATTTCATTGCATTTTCAGATTCTCTCTGAAGATCTGATTACATCGATGTGTCACACTTGGGGAAACAAATACAGGGTGGTGCAGAATTCAGAATCCTGATCACCCGGTATATGTCCCAATTAAATATCAGTAGATAGTTAATCAAAAGTTGAGATAGGGACATGTAAGCCGTTTTGACCAATAATGAATAGTTTCGACAAAAAAAATTCCTAAAGTTGAAAAATGACGATTTTTCACACCCTATATCTCTGTAATCATTTCCGCTAGACCCCAAGTGTGATGCATCGATGTAATCAGATCTTCAGAGAGAATCTGGAAATGCAATGAAATACAGGGTGTCCCATTTAAAAAAATTAACTTCTAAGTCACCGTGCTTTTTAGAGACACTACTCTGTATGAATGAAACTTGAACCATTTAAGAGATCGAATGAAACCCTACAACTTATGTATTCAACATTTTTTTTGTAATATGTAGAATAAAGAAGTTACAGGGGGGGGGGCGACGGACTTTTGGTCCTCACTGTATAGTGAATCTATATCTAATAACTCTCTTCTTCTGTTAAGGTTCATAGTAGGTTCCGAATAATTTAGTCCGTATATACATTTGATAATTTTATTTTGAAGAGTTTTGAGAGGCTTTATAATTGATAGTTTTGTTGAACCCCATACAGAAATCAAATATTCAAGTTTAGAATAGATCAAAGAGATATAGATTTGAGACATTTTATAGGAACTTGATTCCGTACCCTAAAAAGTATACCTATTATTGGAGATATTTGTTTTCTAAGTATTTCAATATGTTTTGACCATGACAAATGTTCATCTATGTACAGCCCAAGAAACTTGATATTATTTGAATATTTGATGACTTCATTATTACATGCAATTGGAAATTTGTACTCATTATGAAATGTATATATTTTTCCTTGGTTTATTCAAAATTACAATACTTGATTTCAGTTTGGAGTACAGCTAGATTATCAATCATAAAGCCAATCAAAATCCTTCAAAACAAAGTTATTAAATGTATATACAAACTAGATTACTTGGAACCAACAAGAAATCTTTATAAACCTAGGCAATTGTTAAATATTAACTTCATTTACAAATTCAAAATATCAAATTTCATCCATTCCGTCAAATATAATTATAAACATTCAAATCTGAATTTTGAAGTCAATAGTCATAAACACGAACACATAACCAGACAAAAAGATATGTTAACTATCATCAAAATTAAATCAGATATGGGTAAAAGATCTATTTTATACAATGGAACAATTCTCTATAATGAATTACCTGCCAGACTAAAGAAAAAATTAAGTGTTGAGAAATTCAAAAAAGAACTGAAAAAACACTTATGTCTTTGATTCTCTTCATGTCATCCTGAATCAATTCAAGAAATTATATTCAACAGTCTCTAGAAGAAACAACATTATATGTATTATGTATATGATTTAAAAATGATTATCTGATTATCTAATTTTTGTTTTTTAGTTGCTCTTTCATAATTTTCCCTGCTATAAACATATATGTTTCTTGGGAATAATAAAGATAATATATTATTGATTTCTTTTAATTGATCATAAATGCTGATTGACTATAATTCATTCTCAATTTATAACATGATAACGATATTAATATTTTCAAATCACTTGAAATTTCATCCTTAATCTGTTGTGCTGAACCTGCTGAATAGATTAAGGTTGTGTCATCGGCAAACATGTAAATTTTACCTTTCAGCTTCAAAGGACCCCGCACGAAAACACGGGAAATTGGCTCACGGTCGAATTGGCTGAATTTTTACTATGTTGTTGTGGGATGGCTCATTAGGAAAATCTGTGAGTTTAAAAAGTTTTGTATGTTTAGTTTCTGAGATATAAGCCGACAAAGTTCGTAAGAACGTCGTATCGGAGTAGGATTGACAAAGAAAAAAACTGTTTTTTTAGTATAAATTAGACAAAATAAGCTGGAAAATGTATTGATCGGAACTCAAATACATGTCTAGTTATGAACACATAATTTATAGTAAATCAGGGTGCATACGAGGCACGGTCAAAAAATTAATTTTTCGGAAAAAAAAATCGAGCACTATTCCAAAACCAATAAGTTATATTTTGGTGGGACATCATAGTTTTAGTCTATTGTAGGCTTCGAAAACGTATTTTGATTCTTGATAACTATCTCAGTTCGAGATATGAATTTTTAGAATTTTGTGTTACACCCCTTTTTGAAAACAATTGACAGCTTGTTTTTGATCACAAAGAAAGGGATTGATTGATACTGTTGATTGAATGAAAGCTGATGTGACTCACTAGCGAATTCAGTTGTTCAATATTGCCTTTCATTTAGATACAGGGTGTGTTAGATTTTGTTGGAGATTATTTAACATGTTTCAATTGAATATCTCGAAAACAGTTCCGTTAATTTGGATCTCATTTTACTGACACTATTTTGAATATGTTGACTATCATATGCGAAAAGTTTTTCAATTTTTCATGTTTCGTTTCTGAGATATCATTTTTACAGTATTTATTATATTACAGGTATTATAGGGTTATTACCTTGGATATTACTATCGATTCAACAGAACTTTACGGAATCTTTCGAACATTCAATTACATTATGAAACAATTAGAAATCAATAATTTGTAACTATAAACAACACTAACCACATTGAAAAACAATATGAAACTCAACAGTATGGATTCCGTAAAGTTCTGTTGAATCGATAGTAATATCCGAGGTAATAACCCTATAATACCTGTAATACTGTAAACTCAAAAATGCATATCTCAGAAACAAAACATAAAAAATTGAAAAACTGTTTGCATATGATAGTGATAGTCAACATATTCAGAACAGTGTGAGTAAAATGAGATCCAAATTAACGGAACTGTTTTCGAGATATTCAATTGAAACATTTTACATAATCTCCAACAAAATCTAACACACCCTGTATCTAAATGAAAAGCAATATTGAACAACTGAATTCGCTAGTGAGTAAACTCAGCATTCAATAAATCAACAGTATCAATCAATCCCTTTTTCTGTGATCGAAAGCAAGCCGTCCATTGTTTTCCAAAAGGGGTATAACACAAAATTCAAAGAATTCATATTTCAAACAAAGATAGTTATCGAGAATGAAAATACGTTTTCCAAGCCTACAATAGACTGAAACTATAATGTGTCACCAAAATATAACTTGTTAGTTTTGGAATAGTGCTCGATTTTTTTTTTTTTTTTTCGAAAAATGAATTTTTTGACCGTGCCTCGTATACACCCTGATTTATTATAATTTATGTGATCATAACTAGACATGTATTTGAGTTCCGATCAATACATTTTCTAGCTTATTTTGTCTTATTTATAAAAAAAAAAACAGTTTTTTTCTTTGTCAATCCTACCCCGATACGACGTTTTTACGAACTTTGTCGGCTTATATCTCAGAAACTAAACATACAAAACTTTTCAAACTCACATATTTTTCTAATGAGCCATCTCACAACAACATAGTATAATTTCAGCCAATTCGACCAAGAGCCAATTTCCCGTGTTTTTGTGCGGGGTCCTTTGCAATAGAGTTGATATAAATAAGAAATAAAATAGGACCCAATATGAATCCTTGCGGTACACCGCATACTATTTCACCGCTCTTACTGAATGATTCTCTTGAATATACGAATTGTTTCTTATCACTCAAATAATTTTGAAACCAGTCGTAGACAGGACCTCTAAGACCAATACAATACAATTAATTCAAGAGAATTTCATGATTTACAGTATCAAATGCCTTTCTTAAGTCAATTGATATGAGTCCAAATATCTTGTTTGTATCTAGTTGCAATTGGAAATCTGTTACAACATCCATAACTGCGGACTCCGTATCACATGACCCTCGAAAGCCATATTGATGGCTGTAAAGATATTTCTTTGCCTCTAGATATTCTTGCAATCGGTAATTCATTACTTTTTTTTATAATTTTAGAAATAACTGGTAATATTGAAATAGGTCTGTAGTTCTCCATTTTATCTGGTACATCTCCTGACGCAACTGATGAATTGATTAATTTGGGTTGGAATATGTGCATATTCGTATCTCGTTATATTTTGATCCTGAAAACGGAAGCAGATTCGTTTCCTAAACGTCCAAAGTAAAATTTCATATTTTTTAATATATACAGTGATTCATTGACTCATTTTAAGAAGAAAACTTCAAATGAACGTATTTCCTAAAAGTCTCAAGTTTTGAGATACAGGGTGATGAAGTCTTGAAAAAAATTCAGTTTTTTGATAATAACTGAGACAATATTGTTTACACCTTCATGAAATTTGGTACGCGTCTTAGAAGCATCAAGGTGCATTATCTGATGTACAAAAATTTTTATTTTCTTTACCAGTGGCACCGTTCGGGGAATATTATTGTTTATATTTTACTTAAAAGTGAGCAACGACAAGAAATTTCCAAATTTCATACAATGATATAAAGGGCTATTTAATTATGTACAAAAAAGAACCTCTTGTTGATACTCGATAGAACGCTTCGTTTTCGAGAAAAAACGGAAAAACGAGACCAGAACTCAATCACAGTCTGTAATATTTTGAAATTTATATACCGATTCACACAGCAGACTGAATTATGTCATCACGAAAAGTTATACAGGGTGGACAAAAAAATAATCTATGCATATTTTCAACATCTCAAAAGTTAGGACGTTTACGACATACGGTCATATGAAGTTTTGGAATCGGCCCCTTGAATATTAGCATATCATTAAGGAACACTCTGTATATATTCTTCATTTTCAAACATTTTTCTAACAAGGAGTCACTTCCTATCAATTGAATTTATTTTTCAGGTTTCTAATAATTAGAGTTTAAGAACAGTGACATTTTAGGGCAAATCATCTGCACCATCATGGGCACAATTTTCGGAGATTTTCCAAGTGATAACTCCTATAGGCCCATTGTACACTTCCTGGGATAAGAGTAAAACGGCAAACTCGCGTCACGGAAGGCGCGTACCATAAGACCAACATAATTATGTGTATGCCTATATATGTTGATATGCGACAGTGGCTGGTGAGGACTATCTGGGATAGGAGTAAAACGGCAAACTCGCGTCACGGTCACCGCGTACCAGAAGACCGGCCTAGTCTAATCATATTGTGTTCTCGCTGGGATTACAAAACATTTTTATACATCATTCACATCATTTATAATACACAGGGTGAGTAATTCATAATTTCGAAAAGAGGCAATTTGAAATTTCTTATTCTTGAAATTTCTCCATACATATTTTTAGTTCTAGTTCATCCTTCTCGTGGAAATGTTGAATACAATTAATATTACTTCATTTCCCCGTAGTGTCCAAAAGACATTGGAAATACTGACCGGCCATAGAAGTTCACTTCTGACGTGTGGTCCTATGGACACCAGTTTTTTTATAGAATGTAGGGGTCAAGTGATACCTCATTTGAAACGAATTTCAAGTCCAAGATGCTGAGCTGAATCGATATTTCCCATTCAAGACCCTTGCTTACATTCTTTCTCATCAGACAGCTGCTTGTATTTGTTGAAAACCCACTGGAGAAGTCCTTTGTGAGAATCAAGCTGTGGACTCTTCAACACTTGCTCGAGGGTCGCGAAAATCTTGAACTTGTTGGAATTTTCGATGAACTTGAAGAATGGGTAGTTCTTGGATTCCTGCTCAAGAAGGGCATAACCTATAAGATGCAGGACTTTGTGGAGCTGGGGTTCTGAGAAGTTTCTTGCATTGCGAGTGATACTTCTGAAATATTAAAAATCAGTTGTTAGAAATGAAATCTATTTTTTTTTTAAATCAGATTTTTCCTGAAAACTTGTTCAAGTGAAATACTTTTGAACCTTTGTATTTTATATTCAATATAACAGAGTAAAGATCAATTGAAGTTGCAACAGCCTATGAAATTCCATGTAACCTTGAATTCACCTCAGACCATCAGGATCTCGCTTCGCTCAAATTGACTGTTTATCGCCTATATAAACAGTCACTGTGTTGCGAAATTCAGCAATTTGGTCCATCAACACCAGTGGTGGAAAAATTTTTGTCGGTAAATTAACAGAGAATAATTGTGATGAGGATATGTTGTGTTGCTTATTCCATCTGGTGAACTATCTGATGCCAAAGAAGGGAAGTGTTGTATTTCGTGCAAGATAATTTATTCAAATTTATACTCTTTACTCGTAGCAGAGCGCTTCTTTGGTATATATAGATAGATAGATAGATTTTATTTAATCATGTTATGTAACGAAATTACATTTATGACAAGTCCTAAGAATAAATGGGTACAAGTACTAAATAATATGTGAGTGTAAATATTGAAACATCTCTAGATGACAAATATATGAAGGTAAAATCTCACATCAGTATATGAGAAACCAAAACAAATTTTCAAAACAACTAAGGGTTATAATAAATTTAAAATTATCTTGTATATGTACAATTCATGAAATCTTTGATAGAATAAAAGCAATTCTCGAGAAGATATTCCTTCACCCGCACGTGCACACAGCCAAGCAACCCTCACTAACAATCTGATGAGCCACCAATCACCTTCATTCGAACTAAGTGAATAGGTGGATCAATATTTTTATCGTAATTTGAGGTTAAATCTGTCATCAAAAATATGAGTTATATGCTTCATGGTTATTTGTTTTGAAGCGTTAGTGTGGTTTTAGAATTTCAAATGATTAACTTGTATAAATCTTTAGTTACTGAAATAAGCCTCAATAAGTTACTGCAGTCTTGCACCAGTCGTAGATAGACTCTAGTTCATCAATATCAGATTATATATTTATGAATCCTACCAGCAATTGAAACATTGTACAGTTGTAGAGTCACGTAGCTTGTCATCTGGTGCCCATTGTGTGATAAATATATCGGTAAATTTTCCACATCATCTTCCATTCTGACATTATCTGACTCAAAAATTAAATCAGACGAAACAAACCCCCAATCTTCAAAATGTTGCTTATTTCGGTGAAGAATGAATCCACCGACAATCCAGCAATGGGCGTCATTATGGTGGAGATGCACTAAATTGGCGAATTCCGCAACACAGTGAATGTGTGGAAAATACGCCAACATTAAACGAAGAAGGCAATATATCTGCATTCTCAGAGGCCAAGATCATTGCTACGCATGTCATCATTTCACAGTTGAATAAGGCACGAATTTGGAAATTCTATAGCTGCAATCACTCTTCCAGCTCTGTTGTCTATAAAAATCATCCAAATTGAAATGGTATAGAGACGAACACACATTCTAATACAGGCAAACGGTGGTTTCACCTTGCAAAAATCCGGTAGTCGGTATTATTATCGTTCCCCACATTTTTCGGGATACTGAATCAGAATCTGGAATTATCCAACAAAAGTTCCTGGTGCATTTTGAGATGTTCACGAAAAACAGCGAAAACAGCGAAATTATTGCACTTTTTTGGTTTATAACCTATAATTTCAATAAGCATGCGTGATAGTAAATAAACAACCCCGAACTTTCTCAAAGTAGCCTGAATTTGCTATAATGTGACACTAAAAGCAGCACTGTAGGTCTGAACAATTTCCTTTGTTTGAAAAATTCGCGATTTTTGATTGAATGAAAGGCTATCTCAACACATCCTTTTTAGGACGCTGTGAGCGGCTATAATAGTACATCTGCCTTATTCAACCAAGAAAAGGCGAAAACATTGAAACTCTGGACAAAAACCCTGATCTCAGCCTTCCTCTGCTGACCTCCAAACATGATTACAAATACATTGATGTCAAGACTATCTTCACAGCTAGTAATAAATTGATAGCTGTCTTGTACGGTGAAAACAAGCAAGTACCCCTAGATGGGCTATGGTATAACTATGACCACTGTGCTCCCAACCAGAACTGCAGCACACCAATCCATTTAGTGCTGTATATCGGGCAATGTTGGACAGTGCTGTGGTTGGATTCAAATTGTGACAAATTTAATCTTCTCTGAAAAAGTTGCGGTTTGTTTACTTTCCAAAATTATAAGCGAAAAACCAAAAACTGCGAAAATTTCGCTGTTTGTTGGATTCAAATTGTGACAAATTTAATCTTCTCTGAAAAAGTTGCGGTTTGTTTACTTTCCAAAATTATAAGCGAAAAACCAAAAACTGCGAAAATTTCGCTGTTTTCAAAACGCACCAGGAAATTTTCTTGGATAATTCCAGATCCAGTTTGAGTGTCTTAAAAAACATCGACAACAGGATTTTTTGCAAGAAGAGGGCATATTTTGATAACATTTGCCTGGGTTCTTGTAGTTTATAGAAGTAAATTCACTGCATCTTTGCAGTCTGGTGTTCAGGAAAATTGAACTATTAATTAATCGTATAAAATCATAACATCTTCCCACCTATGAGAAGATAGGTGCTTATCGGATTCTGAAGAATAATTTTAGCATAGTATGCAGTAGTACATCAAATTGCAGCTTGATATTCTGTTGTCAGCTATAATATCGAGGCAGAGATAAGTTACCTATCTCTGATTGAGGATACCACTAACGACGTTAATCTGTCTAGCCTATAGTTCTAGCAATTGAGGTCAAGATTTCGGTAAAAAACGGCATAAAACATCCAACTTTACTTTCTTTCAAAACATACATGTTCTTGCTAGGTGCCATTCAAGTGTAGTTCGAAATTTGATATTGTCACCTATAATCCCCCTAACAGCAGAATTATTGGTGATAATTTTTTTCAAGGTCACGAATGTTTTTGTTGGTAGAAAATTATCCCCAGTCGAAGACGAAATAACAACGAAAGAACAACAACGAACACACGGTGCTTCAGCGTCCACCGCTTCATGATGGCAAGTGGCAACTGAGAAACCATTTCATGATGGCAAGTGGTAAATGAGAAAGTGAAATGCTTCGAGTCGAGGAATGGATTGTAATAAACCGCGCGCCGAGTACTATCCAAACCAAAAACACTTGGTTCTCATGCCCCACCCTGTACTTTTGAATTGACCCGGCCATTACTTGATGGAAATCTAAAGTTAATGTGAAAAACTTCACAAACGATAAGATCTCTACACAATTCTCAATCACACGACACGTTTCGCTTACACACTTCAGGCGAAATACTCATACATACATTGTACGAGTATTTCGTACATACATTGTACGAGTATTTCACTTGAAAAAGCTACTATGTTAGCGAAACATAATTATGATCGTTCGAGAAGTTTTTTACATTCAAATAAATTCCTTCCAAACAATTCGCTTCACTATTGTTTGTGATATTTTGAGCAATACTTGATTCATCAAACCGATTATACCTGAGGCGAGGAATATGATCTTTGAATATTTTTCCTATGCCTTGACGTGTTTGCCCAATATATCTCATGTTAAAGTCTTTAACATTAATTTCATAAATAATTGACCTATCATTGATATTTTGCAGTAAAACCCACGTTTAGCCCGTGAGATTTAAAAATATTATTCAATTTTCTTGTGACCTCGATTGAAAGAAATATACACAAATGTCTCCTAAGATGAAGTAGTTTCACTAGCAGTTTTGTCTAGTTGTTTTCTTTTCACATCAAATTATTGACTATTAGAGTCCAATAACTTGTGAAATGCAACATTTTTAATGTAATTTAACGCTTTTTGGATGACGAAAAGGCTAATTACATATGGATAAAAAATGCAAAGCTTAACATTTATTCTGTATGCAGCAAATTATCGGCTACGAATTTTGTTGTTGTCATAGAAGGTAAAAATTTGGGAACTGACTGCTACGTTTTCATTTTATGTTCTGTATTAGTTATATATTATTGTTAATTCGAATGCATATTGAAATAATTTAGTTGACAGACTTGAACATAACATGTAATGATTTTTCTCATGTCAGTGTAAATTCAAAAGCGACTTAGATAGTAACAAATATGTTGTCAGTGTTTTTTTTAGATTTGAAACGAGCTTTTGAGACCATAGATCGAAACATTTTAATGTCAAAATTATCCCAATATGGTATCAGTGGAAAAGTATATGACTGGCTCAAAAACTACTTAAATGATCGTAAACAAAAAGTAAGGTACAACAACGTTTCATCATCAGAAATTACTAATAATGTAGGAATCCCTCAAGGCAGCGTATTAGGGCCTTTACTCTTCATTTTATATTTAAACGACATCGAACTATTTGTGAATTGTGAGTTTATAAACCTCTTTGCTGACGACACTTTGATAGTATGTAGTGATTCTAGTTTGAAAGTAGCCATTCAAAAGATGAACTCAGTCTTGATAGATGTTTACAATTACTTGAACATAATAAACTTAAATTGAACGTTTCAAAAACAAAAGGAATGATCATAACACAAAATATAAATATAACTGCATCAACTTTGATGATATCAGTTTGATGATAAATGATGAGAAAATTGAAATAGTTCAAACTGTCAAATATTTGGGATTTCACTTAGATAATGTATTATCATTTGAAAGTCACTTCGAATATATCCATAAAAAAATATTGAAGAAACTTTATTTTTTCAGCAGAATTGCTAAGAATTTAACAGTTGATACCAAAATCACCATATTATACAATGCAATAATTCAACCCCATTTCGATTACTGCGCGTCGGTGTTGTTTACATTAGATTTGAACAAAATAAACCAACTTCAAAAATTGCAAAATCGTGGTATGAGGGTAATACTGAATACAAGTCGTGATACTCCTATAGTATTGATGCAAAATACACTACAATGGTATTCAGTTAAACAAAGGGTATATTATTTCACTATGATTTTTGTTTTCAAGATACTGAACAATATGGCTCCAACTTATTTTAATGCATATTTAATTTTCAACAGAGATGTTCATAATCACATAACAAGAAACTGCAACAATATTCATATTCCCAGAACAAATTATAAAAAGACAATGAATTCATTATTCTTCAAAGGTTTTCACGAATTTAACAAACTACCTGAAAAAGTAAAGTATAGTACTTCTTTGATTAGTTTCAAAAACAACCTCAAAAAATATTTGTCAATGTAATTTTCTATAGCTACGTATTCAACTCATACTCTCCTTTATTAGTTTTGGTATTATTATTGTTATCACTATCAGTACCTGATGTTTTTATTATTTTATTATTATATAATCATTTTAATAATAATGTGTATTGTTATTAATTAATATCATTTATTATGTATTATTATCATTATTGTTATTTATGTGAATGCTATTCGTTGTATATTAGGGTTTCCTATTTCAATAAAGATATCTATCTATCTATTAATGATACCATAGATCTACAGATTTTATTGTAAAATTTGTTTATCAGTACTTCAGTTGCTAGGAAGAGCAGAAACAACAGCTTATAGTGGATTTTCAAAACCGTTCAATACTATTGCCGGACTCTATCATTCTATGTCCACAGGTTAGAGTTTTAAGTGTGGATTTGAGTATTGTAGGCATCGTCAAATCAGCCGTTTTGTAACTTTGGTAAACAACTATCGATGTGAATGATTCGATTTCATTCCAAAAAAGTCTTCGAGAAATATTGAGAATGTATGAATTCATATACTCCAAACTAGTGTTTGTTGAGTAGCTACAGGGCATTGAATTACATCCGAATAATAGAGTTTTTTACGATACTTCAATGAGTATGTGTCAAAAACTCTCCCAATTCGGGCCATATCTTTTCTTCCAACTACCTTTGAATGTGTGACTACAGTTTGTTGAAGAGCTACAGGGCATTGAAGTGCATCAGAACGATAAAATTTCGTCAAAATACTTCAGTGAGTATGTCTCAAAAACCCTCTCAATTCGGACCATATTTTTTTATATCAAATACCTTGATTATCAATTATAAAAAAATGCAGGAACATAAGCAGAGGAGTAGATCAAGTTATTTCTTTTCAACTGATTTAATAGGCACCGTAGGATCAGCCATTTTGGAACAAAGCTGACAAGTATCTATGTGAGCAAGAAATTGAATCTTAAAGAAAAATAAGAATGCACGAGTTCATATACACCCAACTAGAGTTCGTTGAGGAGCTGCAGGGCACTGAAGTGCATCAGAACAATAGAGTCTTATTTTTAATGATACTTCAGTGAGGATGCTAAAACCATACCAATTTGAACCATATATTTTCTGCCAACTACATTTGATTATCAATCATCGAAAAAATGCAAAAACGTACACAGTGGATGCCACCTGATTTTGTAGGCACCGTAAGATCCACCATATTGGGAGTTCGACTGACAAGTATCGATGTGAGAAAAATAATTGAGAGGGAGAGATATTGAAGAGGATGTAGAAGTTCATATACCCCCAAGTATGGTTTGTTGAGGAGTTACAGGGCATGGAAGTGCATCAGAATGGTAGATTTCTTTCAAGACATATCAGTGAGAATGTGCCAAAAAATCTCCCAATTCCGATAATATAATTTGTTTCAATTATCTTTGATTATTAATCATCAGGAGGATACCAAAACAAACACAGTGGTGTGTATAAATTCATATTAGTTGATCTGACATGAATAAAATACAAAGTGATTCACTAACCATAAAACATTCTGAATAACTCTGCATATCACAAACCTTTGTAAAACTGTCTTCATGATGTGTAGCATCACATCACACTGCAGCAAATTCACCAATAAACTAAACGACTCGTTCAATTTGGGTAATCTAGGGGGTGGGCAGCATTCCAACTCTCCCTTCGCCTTGTGTCTTTTTCTCTGTGCCTCCTCCGACTTGGACTGCTCCTCCTTGAAATGAATCAATCCATCACATATTTTTGAGGTTGAGAAATCAGTCCTACAGATATTGAATGTAATATCCTATATGATATATAAATGACTCTATTATTATGCAAAACATTCAGTTTAGTTTATTGCTATGGCATTTCTCATCTACAACAAATGAATATAGAAAATATAAAATATATTCTTAAACTGTAAATAGATCGATATACCTCTTTTTTTATTCTCGGTAAGCTCGTAAACAATGTATACGAGGGAGTTTTCGTCACATTTTTAGACTTAGACAGATCTTTAACACATCAATTTCCTTATTTATGGTTTCTGGTACAGGTTCTGACACTTGCTTCCAAAGAAAATGGAAGTGATAATTTATTGTGCTTAGAACAGTTGTGTGTACAAAATGTGTCAAAATAAGTCAATGAGACAACGAGTATCAACATTGCCGTTTATCCCGTTTGAAAACCCCTTCTCAATATTTTTCTTATCTTTTCTCCTTCTCTTATAAGAAAGCTGTGACACTGAATTTTGTTCATGTACATTCTCTGCGTAATTGAACTTCCTCAAATAATTGATGAAGATAACATTTTCTATAAAAAGGCTATATGTATCTTTCGTCTACAATGGATAGTTTCTGAGAAACAGAGGATGAATAAATTGAGGTCATGAATGTTGAGATGGATCGCTCATACCAGTGACAACCAAAGACTATGCTAGATCATTTTTAATAGGACATTATATTACTCATTACCAAGTCAATTGAGAAACATACAGGAAGCAACTAGATTCAAAATTAACTTGAAAAAATATCTGCATCAGAGACTTTGATAATTCCATTTCTTATTTGGATACCTTCTTATAAAAGACAAGGTTGATATTGCTTGATTATTTACCTATTTACAAAACAACAAATATGATCGCCGAACATTTTGGTTGGATCAGGGACCAACCACCCCAGCCATGTTTGTCTTAAGGGTGTAGAGTATGCTTGTGTCATACATTAATGTTCGGTACTGATTTTATATTATAATTCATTAAATAAAATGGAAGTATAAAAAATATATGCCGAATAAATTAATTGGATATTGACCGTAGAATTAAAATTCAATTTTCGTTAACAATATTATATGTTCTCTTCTTTGAAGACAAGTTAAATGGACAATTGTACCTGGATTCATCAGAAAATACAATTGATCCTTCATTACACAATATTTAGAGAGGCCAATCGATGAAATTAAAAAAATATTGCTGGACGAAAATAACCTGTTCTTTCAGCAAGATGGAGCTCCACCACGTTTTTTTTCTAGGGGTGAGAGAATGGTTGAATCAACGATTTCCTAGGCAGTAGATTGGCAGAAGAGGTGCCATAAAATGGCCAGCAAGATCTCCAGATTTGATACCTCTTGACTATTTTCTGTGGGTCACTTGAAAACAATGGTTTATAAGACTCTACCAGAAGATATTGATGAACTCAAAAGTAGAATCATTTCAGAATGCAGACAAATCAATCGGAAAATGTTCAAAAACATTGTGAAGAATTCGAAAATATGCTGTACTATTGTCTACAGAATAATGGAGCACATTTTGAGCAATTGTTTTGCATACCACTCTGAAAATGTTCTTCTTAGACACGATTTGTCAAAATAAATCATTCTAGTTGGTTTTGAAAGGAACTAGTAGGGTATACTATTTTCAGCTGTATAAAGCACCAACACATTCTGTTCTGATTGACAGAAAATATGTCATTGTTCACTGAAACCATATACAGAGTGAACTCTTTGATAGCTGGCAACATTTTACAAGTACGGTCCTGGATTTCTTTCAATTCTGTATACGTTATTCAATTGGTGTTGGAGTGCATAATGTTCCATGAAAAAATAAAATGAATCAAGCTGTTGAAAAGTTGTGACACAAATATTTTTTCGCTCAATTGTAGAAGAGGAGGAAAAACTCCAGGTGGTCATTCGATATTCCCCTCAGAGGCATCTATTTGTGGTAGGAGTATGTACAGTACCTCAGGACTCGCTCTGTATACAAAATAAATATTTTTTCACCTGGTTGATTGGATCATTGATAGACCTTCAATTCTATGTATCAAGTAGGGGGTGCCATTTGAAATTTCAAAGTAGGGGTGCCTGGAGGAGAAGGGGATGAACATAGCATTCAATTGATACTGTTATTTTACTTCCCCTTCGATATCTAAATCGACCTGTTTTTTCCGAAAATTGTAATCTTCGCAGATCAGAAGATTTGCAGGGTGGTAAGTTTTGAAATGAAAGCCCTGTATAGCAATAAGAGAGCAGAACACGCGACCGTTCTCAGGTTGAAAATAAATACGAATAAATCCTGAATTCAACAATGATTCTAGATGAAATTATTATTTTATTTACAACCATATATGTAATGTTGTCATAACTAACGTCATTGAACGTTGGGAAGTGTCACATTACACACCTCTTCTTCCCGCCCTCACTACTTCCCGCCCTCACTCATGTAATAATTTTTTTATTTTTTTTTTTTCAAAGAATTTATTTCTGACCTCAAATCAGATAACAAAGATCTGACAACAAGGCCTAAATACAACAGAATAATAGATAACAATGTTTATAAAACTAAAAACCTTAACAATTCAAATTCAATATGTGCCTACTCATCTACACTGTTTCTACTTCTATAATACTTCATGAGGTTATGATATACTACCTTCTCACTTCCTTCAAATACAGTTTTTGTAATAAGATTATACATTTTTATGCTTTGGTAAATAGGAGAATTTTGACCTTTTTTTGTTCGTAATAGTTTGTTTCTGTACATATCAGTTGATCTCAAGTTATAGCTGTGATAGTCTTTAGTTTGCTTCAGTTCCACACTTGTTTTCATAAGTTTATTCTTGATTTTATATATAAGTTTAGCCTGCTCAAGATTTTTCAGTTGTTCAACTTTCAGGAATGGATAGTCTTTATACAATGTGTCACTTGGTGTAAGATAGTTTCTAGAGAATATAGTTTTTATCGATTTGTTTTGCACTCTTTGTAGTTTATTCATTATATCCACACTGGCATTTCCATAACATGGGACCAAATATCTCAAATGAGGTTCAATAAAGCTATTGTATAAGAGATATCTCGAGTTTTTGTTGAGCATATGATTACACCTTCTTATTGCTCCTAGCATTGGAGCCACTTTTTCAACAATACTGTTTACATTTCTTAATTACAGTCATTTATTTTCATTTGCGGATTTATTTGTTTCTTTCCTACTTGTTGCAATACCATGTAGACAGTTTTTTCAACGTTTAAACTTAGTTTATTGTAACACAGCCAGTCATAGTATCGTTTGAGCTCACTATTTACATTTTCTTCAAGATATTTTTCATGCATACCTGAGAAAACTAATACTGTGTCATCACAGAATTTGAAATACTTTGCTTTCAGACTTCAGATTTTGCACATGTAATAAGTACTGGAGGGGCCCTAACACTGATCCTTGTGCAACTCCTACACTAACACTTGTCTGGTGACTCACTTTACCGTTGACATTGGTCTGCTGTTTTCTTCCTGTGGAGTATGATTTCAATAGATCCAGGCATCTTCCCCTGAATCCCATTTTTTGTAGCTTTTCCATAAGTAGTGAAATATTGACAGTATCAAAAGCTTTTTGAAGATCTATGAATGTAGCGACAACATATCTGTTTTTATCCAACTCATTTGTTATGTATTCCAGCAGGTCCACTGTTGCTCCTAGGGTGCTACTATTTTTTTGAAATCCATATTGGTTACTGTCATATTTGAATGTGTTATCAATAAACTTGACTAGTCTTTTTTTATTACTTTTTCCAAGATTTTACTAAAGGTACTTAATAGTGATATAGGCCTATAGTTATTTATTTATGAAGAGATGTAATACAGGACAAGTCCTAAGTTTACAATTACATCTGTAATGCCTTATGCCTATGTAACGATCTCATACAACATTCAGTATAGCATAGAAAAAACAAAACAAAAAATGAGCAATAACTAAAGAGGTAACTAATATAAGAGATCAGATTACAGAATATTCCAAATTAGAAACCTAGACAGCAAAGCAGAGGAAGAGAAAACCAATAATTAATATTACGTGATACAAAGTTATAAAAGCGTCCGCAATCACGATGCGAAGGACAAAAAATTACCAGGATAACATTTTCTTGTGATTAAAATGCAAAAAATTAATAAATTATTGAAAATTAATTATTTACTTTGAAAAAATTTCAAATATGTTTTTCCGAATAGCATTTTCTTGCTCATTGAATATATTCAACTCTCTATGAGCAACACATATATCGTTCAAGATATTACACATTCGTACTAGGGGGGAATTTTCTCTTGCAACCCTCCTACTTATAGTTCTGAAAACTATGTTTCGGGGACGGAGTCTGGTTGGAATATAAAAGTTTATTCTTGATAATAAAATGTCAGACTTGACGTGCTCGTTGAGTAACCTCACTAAAAAGAGTGCATTATAGATTTTTCTCCTAGTATCAAGACGCATAATATTAAATTCCCGCATAATATTAAATTCCCGCCTTATGTGCATTATCATGATTTCCTTTTTTGTATACAGGAATAATTTTAGCAATTTTAAGTTCCTCTGGAAAACAGCCATTTTCCAGCACATCATTTATTAGCTTCACAATCTTAGGACCGATGATGTCCAAGAGAGTTACATAGTCCTTTTTTGTTACCCCATCAAGTCCTGGCGCACAGTGGTTTTTCATGTCTTTTATTATATCTTTTATTTCTGCTAAATCAGTGTTTTCTAGGCTTATACTCTCTTCTACTTCTTCTTCTTCGAATATTAATCCAGGTGTCTGTTTTATTTTGGTAGCGAGTGATTGCCCAATGGTTGTGAAGTGCCTATTCATCTCCTCTGCAATGCTCTGGTCATCATTAAATGTGTTTCCATGTTCATCTACAAGTTTGGGTATTTTCTTGTTTTCATGGTGGCTTTTACTGCACAGTTCATTGATTACTTTCCATGTTTTCCTGCAGTCTCCTTGAGTCTCCTGAAATTTTTTCTCTGCATACTGTTTTTGCAGTTTTATTCTTAGTTTGTTCAGTTCATTTTTTGACTTTGAATTCATTTTCTGTATTTTCATTTTGTATCTATTTCCACCTTACATATAGTCTGTCTCTCTCTTTCATCTTTCGTATGTATTCATTTGTAATCCAGTAATTATTATTTCTTATTCTTATTGTTGATTCCTTTGTGCAATCTTTTTTTGATAGATTCTTGAAAGAAGTGCAATCCTCTTTTTCAATCTTGTCCGCAATTTGATTTCTCCATTTATGTATATCTAGGTAGGTTTTTGTAATATTTTGTTTCTTATATGTCATGAAGGATTTTTTTGTTTCTATGTGTATAATTTTGTGATCTGAAATTTTGTGATCTTCTAATTTCATGGAGCATTTTATGTTTTTATTGGTGATCAAGTGGTCTAGTATGGATGCACTATTTTTTGTGGTTCTTGTAGCGCTTTGTTGGTTAAAAGTGTTCTGAAATTGGAATCCATTCATTGCCACCACTTGTTTATATGAATTTATAGCTACAGAGGATTTCAGCAGGTCCAGGTTAATATCTCCTACTAAAATACATGGACTTTTTTGCTTTTCCAGAAGTTTATCTATTTCTGGTATGAAAATATTGCATTTGTTTTTTGGTGGTCTATATACAGAGAATATTGTTAGGTTTGGTTGGGGTAAGTGTATTGATATTATATTGCAATCGTCGATAGCTATCTTGTATTTATTGTTTAGTACATATTTCAGCTCATTTCTTACATATATGCTTGTTCCTCCACCTCTAGATTTTTGGCAATCATGTACTGCTGTATATGAAGGTAGGTTGAAGAAGTTGGTTTCATTTGAGTACAGCCAGGTTTCAGTAAGAATTATTATATGTATAGTTTTCTGGCTAGCTAGTATTATATCACAGGTATGTTCAGAAGGAAACATAGATTTATAAATTTTGATCGAAATATGCTGGTTGTAAATAAAATAGTATACAAACCTCGGTAGGAAGTTTCATTCCTGTCTCGAAATTATAGCTAACCTCGACGCTTTGCGTCTCGGTTAACTAACTAGTCTCACGACAGGGATGAATCACTTTCCACCTCAGTGTGTAATATGCTATTCTCTTGCTCAATATCTCACCTTGGTATAATGATAGAAAAACACATTGAAGTCATCATAGTACTGGTCCTTGAGTTCGTAGACGCCCTTGCCAGCGCCATGCGTCGGTTTTTTGAATATTGCAAGTTCTTGGATGACTTCGTCGACTGCGACTTCTCGGGAGGTTAGGTCGTCGGGAATGGTTTTGATTAGTTCAGAATGGGGAAGAGGTTTGATACACAGGTGCTGAATAACCTGTAAGTTGAATAAATGAGTTATACACTCAGTTATACATTTACAAAGTCCTCTTATTGAGAGAGGTAATATATTAGTAGATAAGAATTCAATAAGAAATTATTGATTGATTTATTGGTTGTCTTTCATCACCACAAGAAACATTTCTGTTTATAATAGGGATACATGAACACACAAAAAAAACTATAATAAATGATCAACTAATGAATTCCACACAGTGGAAACAAATTCATACTTTTGCTTGAGAAGAAAGTGATTGTATTTCAATTTTGAGTAATCAAATCATGCCACATATTTTTCAATCGAATTGTCAAAGTTTTAATATCTTGAAAGCCGATAGGTTTCAACTGAGGTCTAGTTGTGGTTTTCTGATAGGTTATGATTTATTACCAGCTAAAGTATGATCCATGGTTTACCAGACACCCTGTATGTTTAGTTCACGAACTTTTCCTTTTCTACTAATAATATTCTCAACAAGAAGACATGTATTATAATTGAATACCTCTTTTCTTATCCTGTCCTCGACTGTAACATTAGTCACCCCCGGCATATATCTCTCCCCAACAATCACAATGAGGAAGTGGAGTAGCTCCTCTACTAAACCAATCGTCTGTCTTATAGAATCTTCCTCCGGAGACTTCAGACTTCCCTCTTCTGGCATCGCCCAATTGATCAGATTGAACCTGACATGAAAGATATTCTGGATATTATTGAGTCAACATATTCAAATACTAAACTGAAGAATTTGAAATTACAAAACAATATAATTATAGCATAGCCACGGCGACATGATTACACTCCCTAAAAGATATTTGCTCACAGAAGTTCAACTCGTTTTCGGATCACTACAAATTGATTCGTTCAAAATTTCTCAAAAATTAGCCAGAGGTAAAAATTTGAATACAAAAATGTTAAGCTAACCTAACCATCATATTATCAATTTTTCCAAACGTTCCCGAAGGTCCAGAACAATCTGTGACATTCTAGATTCTAGAATATTTACGAAACTAGTTGAAATATTCTAGAACGCACTGAAGCATCTTTGAAGAGTCCAATACATTGTTTAGAACATTCTTGAACTTTCTGAAAGATTTTTAGTACATTCTAAAACCTTCTGGAACATTCTAGAACGTTATGCCTGGAACATTCTAGAAAGAAAACTCAAGAACTTTCTAGATTATTCACCAGCTACGTCACTGGCTTTCTATATGAAGAGTAGGTTGCTGACGTCAAAATAAGAAGAAAAGTTCGTATAAATATATGTCCGAAAGTTATTTCTTTATGAGATACAGAGTGTCAAAGTTGAATTCTTATTTTTGTTTTTTGTTAATAAATTTCAAAATAATTGTGATATTCAAATGAAATTTGGTATCTAGGGGTATTTTTCCATGACAATATCAAATTTTATGTTGGTTTGCCTCTTTCGTGGGGGTGGCGCCACCTACATTCTTCCGAGTTTTCTTAGATTTTCGAAAATATAACAAAGTATTTCATCTTTTAGCATTAAACATTGCATTACCGTACTAGTTATTTTTTTGGTGCATTATTCAAGTATATTATCTTGGTCCACACTATATAAAGTCATTCCCAAATAGTTTCACCAAGTAAACAGACAGATTCTGCAATGTTTATTTAGTTCATGTATATACCTTACTTTTTGAACAACAACACATTGAATATAATTATTTTATTCGATCAAATTTTACAATACATTCAGCACACTATCGTAGTTGTCGATAATTCCTGCAAGTCGACAAGAAAGATTGAATGCTCATTATCAGAGTTATATTACGTACTATAATCTTCTTCTTTTGTCATGTTTTTAGCGAAGTCCTAGGTTGCCTTTGTAGATGATATCTCTATCTAGAATGAAATAATCAGCTGTTAGCAACAAACGTTTGTGTAAGTTGTATTGAATTTTCCTCCTAGGCTATTGATGTTCGAGAATCGGATTCATAAAGATTTCGAAATGATTCAGAATTGTATTTTTATATTGTTTTTGGTTTTTGGATTGGTTATGGTTTCATCTGTCATGTTTTAGCTTGATGACAATTATTAATGTCATTGAATTGTCATCCGTATCATTTGTCATGTCATTATTGTGACATTGTTGTCAATTAAATTAGTGATTTTCGGTTCAATATTATCGCAGTCGCAGCATATTATCGATACTCTTGTGAATTCGATCTCGTTTGTTTATGTTCCATGATCGACTGTGGTCAAATTTCATCAATCAGTGGGAACTTCAATTTCTGTGAGATCTGATAGAGAAGGTATTTTTCGAACTTTTGACACTTTTGGAGGGCTTTGCTATAAGTTAGATGGGTTGGTGTCCCGCTGATATATTCAGGTTTTGATAGGCAATCCTTCAGGATTCTTCACCATTCCTGCTATTTCGCCGCCAAGAACATCGTCGGTGTTTCTGTAAGTAGAATATTTTTGATATACACTGCAGGATTTGGAAATACGCCAGTCAGCCATAACCATAACACTTTTTAATAAGGTGCCCTTTCTTCTTTGGATCCCCAAAAGTCGGTCCGCGAGGAGTTTGGCATAGAAATGTACTCAGGTTATTTGTTCTAGGGTTTAAGGTTACGATCGCAAGTTGTAGATTGCGACCACGAGATTTTTGGTCAGTTAGATTCTAAAATTTTGGTTAGTTCAAGATACCATTCCTAACTTGTCTTCTACCCGAGATTTATGGTTAGCCTTGGGACTCTCCTCCCAAGATAGATGGTTCCTGTCTACTGATAGAGAAGAGAGACATCCTCTTCTTCAACTATGGTCCCTGGCAGCAGTGCAGTCGAGCTGTCTTCAGGGAGTACTTACATCTAGCGGTCCCCACTATCTTCAACCTACCCACCATCAGCTTGGAAAGGCCTGAGTAGAATAAGCCTACCCATGTTGTTGCCGTGCAGGCCAGAGTGTTTTCTTATTCACTTATTCATTTTTTCATATAGTATTTATCCTCATTATTTCATATCCCCTTGGTTTTTCAATGAGTATTCATGACACATCACCAACATTTATAACGCCAACTCATAGTACTACGCGGCGGCAGAAATTCCCTTGAAATCATTGACTTTTTTGGAATCATTAGTTATTGAAGTACCTGTTGATATTGAGGTAGTTTGATGGGATTTTTAAGGAAATACCTGCATTGAACTTAATCTGTGACACTTACAATTTCCATATTTTGTATATTTTCTGCTCTCATCACTTTCAACATTATATTTTGTATGTCTATTTTAGCTGGTCAATATCCTGTAGAGTATTATTTGGTTGCACAACTACCCAATAAAGAGTTTTTTATCTGATTAAACGTTGCTGTGGCGCCCCTTCTCAAGTTCCAATTTGAGTATTTCAATATTATGTAACATTATTGTTTGACCTGAAAAATATTAACAAACCCATTCGTAGTGTATACGGACGAAGAGCAGCCGTTCGCATGTGCTGAATATTTTTTATAAAAAAGTATAGGTCCCAACCTTGAAATCTCCTTTTAGTGTTTACAATGACAATATTGATTTTGCATGACCAATTTTTTTTTTAATTTCTCAGTAAATAATTTTTATTTTACTATACTCTATTCTGGCCCTTCATAAATTGAATACTGCTAAATTAAGATCAACATCGTTATTTTCATTATTATTACCTGTTCAAAATATGGATCAAAAACTCATTGCTCTCAATCAATGATGCCGAAATTTGCAACAATGTTATGTCTCGATCCAGCATCTCTGCTCGACACTTGACGTTGTGATAGTAGAAGAGGGTGTTCAGCAAGGCGTAGCCATTTCTGCGCCACATTCCAGCGTGAACCTGTGCGATCATCACGTGGGCTCTGAGCACTGGTTCCATAATTTGCACCGGGGTAGGTTTGGTGACTTGAAATTCGGTGCCATCGAAATGCAGGTTGAATTTCTCCAGGTACAAGTGTAAAGCTGCCAGAAAGCGACTAAGTGGTAGATGTATCGACACTGGTTTCGAAGATACATCATAATGAAGACAAGCCGTGCTGTGGTCCGCCAACTCACGTACGTCTCCGGCTTCATTTGGTTCGTAACATGGGTTTTCTTCGAGTTTTTTCAGGACAGACCGATAGGCTTTCACTAGTACTACTTTGTCTGTACCACACCAATCGATGGCGAGGGATATGCAGTGGGAGAGTTTTATGTGCAGGTTGAAGCCTGACTCCCATTCTGGTTCATATTCCATGTGCTGACCTACTTGGCGGGTGACTGCGTCCATTCCTGAAATCGGTTCCAATTAATTCGCCTTCTTATTAGATTATCATATGTAATACCACAAGTGATACTATTCTGGCGGAAATATTCGACGATTGTTACGACAGCTTGTTGCCTAGTAATTTCGCAGATTGACATTTTTTATCAAAACTTTAGAGCCGTAGGCTTGGACTTTTCTCACAGAGATAGTGAATTGATACGTAGGTCGAATCTTATATGGTAGAACTAGGATTGTTCACGGCTGATTACGTCACGCATTTTTTCGCGTTTTTCATGTTATGAAATATAGTGAATTTCAATATTAATTAAAAAAATGTATACAGCTCTGAGGAAAACACGTTCGGCGGCAACCTTGCCTATCCAGTACTGACGTCATTATCCCTTTTTGCTATATTCCAAGCTGTTTTATTTCAAGGAAATATCAAGTAAATTTTTCTCAATTTTCGAATCGATGCAATTGATCAAACGAGGCGATGATGATGCAGGCGATTGGAATGATAGTGGCGATGAGGTTACAGATCGACAATATCTGATTGACCTACTTTGAGAGTTGAGAGAATATGTGACTCAGTATCCTTGCACGGCGTGATTGAGTAACAGGTACATTTGAATTGAAATGGCATGACTGAATCCTGTGCGAATTATACTGAATGATGGCGAATTATTGGTGAATGTGGTATAACGAACTGGAGAGAGAACTCTATGTAACTGGCGATAGCGAACTGAACCATAAATGACGGCGCATGTGTGAACGGCGATATCCCGGCGGAATGGGGAAGTTTCTCATATTGAGATGAAAAATTATTATATACGTATTTTTTTATTTTTCCATAGGCTGAGAATTCACTCAAAAAAAAATTGAAAGAAATAATTTCTGCTGCAGACATTGGTGGAGTGCCATGTTCACACAGAGCTAATACACGATTTTGCTAGCACGACTGCGACGCTGCCATTTCCATTTATATAATGTTTGGGTTTTAGAAATTCTGCATATGTATTGACTGCATTGAAACTTCATTTCAATATTGGTTACTATACAGGGTGTCTCATAAGTCATGGATCATTCTCTTCCAACTCCTTAATTTTTCAGGATATACTCGTAATCATCATGAATAAGCCTTCTGAAAAAGTGAAGAAACGTTGATTTTTTTCCTTCGTTTTCAGTTCAGGCTTGTTCGGAGATTTGTATCTCACACTAGATTCACCGTTTACGTCATCGTTGCCGGCGAAAACATTTCCTTATTGTTCCAGTTCGAGAACAGAAATAATTCGAATCATTTCAATTGTCATTATAGATTGCAGAAGCATAATCCTAACCAGTGTGAAACTAATTTGATGAAAATTCATCCGAAGGAAACTTCACCACTCCGGCATTCTTGCCGAGCTTTTGGCGCGATAGCGAATATATCAAGGATTGTGTTTGAAAAGGCGTTACAATATGTTACTCCTAACAATATTTCATCAGAAGCCTTGAAAATTAACTGCAATATATCCCTACCTTGCATCATCGTGAGAAGAGACAACATCATGGACAAACCATGAAGAAAACTCCTTCTCAAATCGTCAGTCCATTTCTCAGGAATCGAACCCAGCAAATACTTCAAATCATACAGCATATACAATGACCTCTTGAAGGTTTGGCTGGACGGACTCCTTTCGAATTCTAGTTTGCCGGCCTTATTGCATTTTCTGCTACACTCTGATATCAGGGTATTCAAAAGGATGTAAAGGACATCATCATACGCGATCAAATGGTATGCCAGAGTTGGTACAGTGAATAGTTGGACAGACAGTGAAGCGATCGAGTATGTGTGATCATGGTCATCTTTGATGAAATCTTTCATCACTTGTCCATAGTTTTTGGTGAAAATTTTCGCTAGTGACTTCTTGTTTTCATACTCCAACAGCATTCCAGAAATCAACAAACGATGCCATTGAGTTCTAGCACTTTTCCATAAAGTAGAATCTCTTTGTAAAATTCCTTTAATGATAGAAGGCTCAAATGCGTGCTGCTTCAGAATGACTTCAGCGAAAATCGCTCGAAAACCTTCACCTTGTCCAAGATACTTCTCCAGCCAGGTCAGAAGTTTCATCGTGTAAATTTGATGGGCAATGATATAAGCATGATTCACTAGAACCTTCAACGGTTTGTTTCCGTGACGTGACGTGTATTTCTCGATTTCCTGTTTCAAATCTGAACAATACTGGAAACTGGAGCACTTCACTACCGCCCGCCCTTCCCTATCAATATTCGTAACGAATTCTGTTGAAGATCTCTGATTGCATTTCAGTACTCTGGTCAAAGTATTGATGACTTGTTCGAAGGTGTGAATTTCATCATTGTACAGTATCGTGCAATAAGTATCAATGTCAAAAAAGTTATTGGAGATTCCGCCTAATCGTATATCAGCGACTTGTTCAGTACTCAGTAAACGGTAGGCGTACCACACAGCCGCCTCAAAAACGATCCGGGCACGATCTTTGATATCCTCAGGCAAACTTTTACTCTCGGCTTTCTCTGTTACTCCTGCAATGTGGATTTTGCAGAAAACGTCATTCTTCCACGCTTCAATATCGCCACAATCGCAGCAACCTCCTCCATTGGAGGTGGACATTTTATACTTGTGTAAGCGATGTTCCGAGTTTTTGAAACATTCTACACATAATACACATGTCTTGTCCATACCGCACTCCCTACAAGCGTAAGTTGGCTCACCATATTTGAAGACCCTTCCACAAACCTAGAAATTAAAGATATATTTATACTTAGGAACGAACGGGTTTTTTCTTTAGAAAAATGAGTTCACTCAATCATTTGAATCTGGATTTGAATATGAATTTAATATTTCATATTTCAACAAAAAAGTAATACAAATATTCGGCTAGTGAGCGAAACCCATAATTGCAGGACTAGAAATCGAAATCAATTTTATTTACCACATGTGAGAACAAATATAGCGCTGAATAACCCAATATATAGGTGCTTGGAAGCATTCAATACACTGCCAAAATCTATCAAAAACAAATATAGCTATTCATCATTTAAACTAGCCCTCATAGACCTTCATGTAAATCAGCGAAATTCCAAATGTTAAATAGTGTTGAAATATTTTTGAAATGAAACTTCCATATATATAATTGTTGTTTGTTGTTATTTAATTGTACTCAAAGAACATCTTATTATACTTTTTATATTTTTGTTATGTGCCATTGCATCGTAATATATAGTGAATGTTCCGTCACCAGTATGTTGCTGATTTGGAACAAAAGCACTTGAATTTATATGGATATCTTTGTTTTCTTAATTTTTTTTCTCTTTAGATTTTATATTATGTGATATATACAGTATGATGCAAATGTATGGAATAAATTCATTATTTCAGACATGGGCGACATTTGAAAAAATTCCAAAAACACGTGAGGTTTCATTTTTGAAGCCTCATCTCATGATATCTACAGAGTGACCCATTTGAAAGCGGTCCACCCCTGTATCTCACGTAATCGTTGGGTAAGGATCATGAAATTTGCTGGAGCGAGAGATATACCAAAAATGCACTCTATGACCAAGTGGGGTCATCTTCAGTGATATACACTGCTCGCCAACAGCCATGGAACCACCCTAATTTCCGGAAAATGATATTAGGAGTCAAAATAGGTTGAAAATCACTTCGGATTCGGAATCAGGACGCCCAATTCACTAACTCTTCATATTTTTCCTTGAAAATTTTCAGTTCTGAAAAATTAAATTTTGTCGCACTTTTCACGGAAGCACCCCCGTATCTCACGTAATTGACTTTATCTTTGGACTTTCCGTTCCTCCTGCAAATTTCAGAACCCTACCTCAATAATTACGTGAGATACGGGGGTGCTTCCATGAAAAGTGCGACAAAATTTATTGTTTCAGAACTGAAAATTTTCAAGGAAAAATATGAATAGTTAGTGAATTGGGCGTCCTGATTCCGAATCCGAAGTGATTTTCAACCTATTTTGACTCCTAATATCATTTTCAGGAAATTGGGGTGGTTCCATGGCTGTTGGCGAGCAGTGTATATCACTGAAGATGACCCCACTTGGTCATAGAGTGCATTTTTGGTATACCTCTCACTCCAGCAAATTTCATGATCCTTACCCAACGATCACGTGAGATACAGGGGTGGCCCGCTTTCAAATGGGTCACTCTGTATATGAGAGATGTTACGTCACCGGTGTTTTCAAATGAAAACAGGGGTCACGTGACACCTCGTTTGAAAAGTCTACTGATCGTCTATTCAACAGTCAACATTTTGGATAAGAAAATTGAAGTTAAAATGGATTATCATTTGATTAACTGAATCTTGCAGAGGTCTGCTACTGAGAATTGAACAACGAAGGGTCGTCTATTTAAAAAAATACATCAATTAATAAAGTTCTGAAGTCTAGTTTTTGGATTTTTTTCGGAAGTCGTCTTGTTTTGAAATGAATTTATTCCATACATTTGCATCATGCTGTATATTTGTACCTGAACAAAGTGTTACTATATAAAGAAAAAAAATCTTATTCTGTTTATATTCAAATTGATGGAGATTAGAATATCACACCAATGATAAACACCCTACATGTTCAATTTGTCTAGCAGTTTTACAAAATTTAGTTATATCATTTTTTTTTTCAACTAATACAGATAATACTAAATATTAGGCCACATTCCTCATAGACATATTCATATTATATATTCTATTATACTTATTATTATGAGCAATGGTGCATTCCATGGAGAAAATAACGATTATTAGTAGACATTTTTTGTGAATCGGCAAGAACATCTTTCTAACAGTTCTACTTTTTTGGCAAATTCAATTGTTTGAGCTAACAATTTTTATTTCAATGTTACTTGCAACTTTTCATCGTTCACTGAAAACGCCTGTTTTTAAGTATAAACTCACGAAGAATAGTTGCAGAATGAATTGAAAGATTTGCTGACCTGCAGGCCTCAAACTGTGATGTAGTACATACATGAAAAGAAAAATTTTCAAAATATAAAAAAGTGAATATTTTGAACTTGTATCTCCCTAGATATGGAAGTATCAGGAGATAATACTCAGAAATGTAATGGACATTTGAAAAAATCAAATAGTAAATAAGTTGTTAATTGGCATATGCATTATGAAAATTTTGAAGGATTTTGTATAAAGTAAAAACTAATAGAAATTTTTCAAATACGTTTTTACTATTCACTTGAAATATACCCGTATCAAGCACTTTTAGTTGGATTTGTACCCAGTTAGGTAGCTATTGCCTTGAGGAAGTTTTAAACAATGTACGACAAATGTGGCTCAGAGATTTTTCTAAAAATAACCACCAGGAAGTGTTAGAATCCACAATTCACAAACAAAAATACGACTGTATAAACCCACAATTCATCTATGATCTAAATTATTTCAGGATTTTTTTCATTCCAACATAAGACCATAATGTTGATCTTGTGTTCTTGTTAGAAGGTGAAGGTCGAAAAAATAGACAGCAGATTTTCAGGAAACTAACTTTCAAACCCTTAAAGTCTACCTTCTGGAGAAAAACAGATAAATTTAATTATCTAAAAAACTATCAACTTTTTTATAATGCATATTAGGGTTAAATCCACTCCTTACCACCTCCCCTAACACATTTTCATAGGAATGTATCGAATTACCAGTAACCCTGTCTGACAATGATGTGATATTAATGTTATAAATAGTACCCAGTCTTATAATTTGTATCAATTGTATCCATCCACATTCCTATACATTTTAATTTTTAAATCAATACTGAATATATTGATAAGATATATATTTTTATATCATTTATCTTATAATCATATATCCGATTTGAAAGAGAATGTCATTTCTCAATTTTAGAAGATTTCTATTTACATATCCTCATAGGGTTTTCAACAAATGTAATTCAATGTTCGACGAGGCTAATAGCCAGGAAAGTAGTTGTTATCTGTTGACAATAAAACTCATGTATAAAAAAATCCCATAAGCCGCTGTGATTTTGTCATTATGACAGCGAAGAAACTTTGCCCTAAGTTTTCCAGCGACAAAACGGAACCTACCTTTTGACACCATGACAACCAGAATTTTGAACGAATCTTTGATAGCGTTTATGTCAATATTTCTCAATCTTGCGTTGTCAGAGTATATTATTTGTGGAAATGTCGCTAGTTGGAGTAGAGAAATTGAAAATTCCTTCAACAATAAGGTGATTCACGCATTCATCAAATTGTCTTAGCGAATTACACTCAAGCATTTTTTGGGTCGTAATGAACTTACATTTATACCTAATTCGAATTTTGTTGCCTTTAGGAAATTAAACTTAAAAACTGCCAAAACAAATCACTCGTCCTACGGACTCGAAGGCATTTTTTTTGTTTTATTTCCAGGCAAAAAAGTTCCCATTGTAATGTCAAGTTTACTTCGACAAATAAAAGCTCTCGCGTATATATAAGTGAATATTCCGAATGATATTTTACAGGGTGTAATTTAATTGATGACTAAAAATAAAGGATATGGTTCCTTTGGTGATATAAAGAAAAAAAGTTCATATAAACATATATCCTAAACCTATTTACTTTCGAGCTATAGGGTGTTCAAAATAGTTCAAATGTAAAGATAAAATTAATTTCCGTATCATAACTTCATTACCTATTCATTTTTTTCATGTTTATAATATATCTGAGGATATTCAATACAAAATACACATGACACATTTATCGTAGAGAATATTGGTAATGAACATACAGTAGTTTATATTATACAACCATATTTCTTCGAAATAGAGTTATAGGTTTTTGGGGTAATGTATTCAAATTCGCATTGTTTCACATTCTCCGAAATACAGTGAGTTTTTTTCACACCGAACATATGAAATCTACACACAATATATCCAATTACTTTTTATTTTGTTAGGACACAATTCTGCTGTAAAATAATGGCTTTGATTCTTTATTTCAACAGAAGAGTTTTAGTCAGATGTATGATAGATTGATGTTCCTGATACAGGGCGTGGATAAAAATTCTAAATACATAAAACCCAATCACGAATCTGTGATTAGAGGTCTGTATAAATAACAAATTTCCATCGTTCAATTTTGGGAATATTCCTGTTCAACAGCAGCAGCAGTTTTATATAAATTATAATATTATTATTTATTACAAACTTTTACATTTCAAGATTTGTGCCGTTAAAATGTCGAATCAAAGCAATTCTACTGTAGAGATGACTTCGTGACTACACCAATGATAAACAAAGAGAAAATACACAAAATGAGTTGAAAAAAATAAAAAAATTAGGATTGAGAATAGATAGTAATGAAATTTGTCGTTGAAAGTTTGATCTGTGTAGGAAGATAAAGATGAGATGAGAGTCAAACTACAAAGTCGGTATTAGTGATCAGTAAGAACCATCAACATTAGCGATATGTTTAAGAACGTCAACAATCACTGATATGAGTCCATGCACATTGCATTACATTAATTAGAAGAAATATTAACACATCAAAACTCTCCACCAAGTATTTATCAATGTCACAAGAACATAAAAATACAAGATTAGTTAGTACAATAGTCAGATTTATAACAGACTAGCTGACCCGGCAAACATTGTTTTGCCATAACATTATTTCTAGAAAAAATGTTTTTACATAAATATTTATCGAAGAACTTTCATTATTTTATTTATACTTCTTTTTAGTTCGGCTATTCATGAAAACGGGATTCTTTAG